ACTGGTAAATCCAGCCGCCTCAACGTATTGCAGGCCACCAAGACTGGATCCAACAGGTCCAGACGTAGTCTGGCCTGGTCACTAAGCAGCGGGAGGCTTAGAAGCCGCTTAACATGTTCGTCCGCAATTCGCCGGACGTTGGCTTATCTTCTGGCTAGGAGGTCCCGAGCAGTCTGGTAGGCGTCGTCCGACAATCTCAAGTGGCCGGCGACGCCCAGGGCCTCCCCCTCCAGTGAGGCCAGGAGGTACGCCATCTTTTGGCTCGGGGTCAAGTCACTCCGGGCGTCCACCAGGCTGTCGAAAAGACCAACGAAGGTCAGCCATTCGGAAAGGACCCCGGAGAACCTTGGCAGGTCCAGAGTTGGGAGTTGTCCCAACAGCTCCGGCTGAAGCTGCTTGCGAGAGGACTCGGGCAGGCCACTCATCCGAGCTTCACGCGCCTCCTCGGCATACCTGCCTTCAGCCTTGATCAACTCGTCCGTGAGCCACAAGAACTGCTCATAGTCCGCGAAGCAGGAGTCCACGACTCCCTTCTCCACATCCGAATCCTCGAGCTCAGCGTAAGCCTCCTCCACTGCGGCCCTTCGAGCATCCACCTGCTCGAACCGCTTCATCAAGTTATGGAATATTGTATTCATATAATACCTGCCTGGATACTGAAAATTCAGGCTTCTAGTTCTATCCACAACGAAATTATAGGGGGTCGAAAATGACCTGAATTGCTTCGAGAAAAGGATGGTACGGCTGTGCCGCTTTTTTGCTCGACTTGGCGGGGGCACTGCCGTGCTCCCAGATTAGTCAGACCTTATTCAATTTCATATGGGACCATATGTGAAGCACCAGCTTTCAAATAAAAAAAAATCATCGAAATCAGTTCACCCAGAAGGAAGTTATGAGGTAACACACATAAAAAAAATATAGAGTCGACTTGAGTACCTTCTCCTGTTTGAAGTCGGTAGAAATATGACGTTCGTCAAAGATACGAGTAGCATAATAAAGTATATACCTATGATTCAATTTTTTTTTGAGGCTCCTTCTGAGTATATCGATATTATGTTTATATATTAAAATTACGTGTCACGTTGTTTGTCCGCGATAAACTCCTAAACTACTGAACTGATTTCATTGAAATGTTTCTCAATGTGTGCAGTTTGGTCCAACTTGAGAGATAGGATAGTTTTTATCCTGATAAGTGGCCCTCAATTTTTTATTGTGAATCTAATGACTTTTTTAGGACACATGGTCATCGGAAAGGGCAGAACAACGTCTGCCTGGTCATCTAGTTATATTATATGTTTCTTTTCTTTATGAAAATCGAGTGTTTCTACGTCCTTGTTTCTTTTTTCATAGTATTTATTTGATTTTAACATATAGATATTGAATTTTGACATACGGCGATTCGTTAGATTTGCCTTAGTTGTAGAAGTGACATAATATTTAATTTTTTTCTTTTCAGTAGAATTGTTTGGTTTTGTTATTTATTACTATTCTAAACATTGAACTTGTTTACGCAACTTTTGCTTAATAAATTATTTGATGATGTTTGAGGACTTTCTTTACACACAAAAATATTTTTTCAAATAATAAAATTAATCCCTCCCTCTACTTACAGTTTCCTTCCACTGCTGGTCATGGGCCATGGAAATAAAGGGGAGCACAGAATTTTCCTGCCACAAATATCACCCACCTTTGCAACGCTGTCCTAAACATCGCATGGAGTATCCGCGTTCCACCGACATTAAATTTAGAAAAAAATGTTCGCCTTTTTTTCCTCCCACATTTTTTTCTTATCACTATTACAACAAACACCGTTACATCCTAAAAAAAAACTCCACTGAACATAGGCCTCCACTATATTCCTCATAGAGGGTATACTTCTCATAGTTGCCACGTTCTGTCCCACGGTACCTACACGTACCTTGTTACTGTTACACAGTATCAAGGTACGTGTACCGTGGAACTGAACAGTGCATCAGTCTCCTATTACGAAACCCACGGAATGATATGAATATTCATACACCGCCACTACACAGTAAGTGGTAATATCTCGAAACATTTCATTTATCGACACATCGTCTTGCAATCGTCGTTACTCGATCTCACTTGACCTTCGTACAAGAAATCCGATATTTTAATTGTTGATATTTTTTTATTTTTGGATAAGAACTCTAAATTATATTTACCATCTTTAAAAAAAATGTCTTTGGCCTGACCTACTATACTCTTTGGCTTGAACATAGTTCTGACTAAGTATGTCCAATAAAATGTCAAGGTCTGAGAGGTTAAAACAAACTATAAACTATTCGTAAGTGGACGTGCGTTCAGTTTTACAAGTTTAATGAATAGGTAACAAAATATAGTGTATATCTATGCAATGGGGTAAAAAGAGACCAACACGTTAAAATAACATTCGTGTGAATATTTTTATTTCTTCAATTAACCTAACTCACATATGCTTGAGCATGCCATCTATACAGATGAAATCGCAACAGGATCAGAGCGAAGTAGCACATTTTGCAATAGGGACCGTAGCGAAATTAATGACATATAATTCTCAATAGATGGCCTTATTATGGTTGTGGTTTATAAATATAGATTTATTATGGTTTATAAATACTTGAACTGAATTAATAATAGACCACTTCATCAGCCTTTATAAGGCCACTGCTGATCATGGGGCACTATATAATAATACTTTAATTATGTGCCTTATTTGATAGGCTCGGAAGGCGCATTGTTTTTTTTTCATAGGGCAACACGGGCCACCAGCGGATCGGAGGGGTGTAGCCATGGAAATATACTATATATAATATAGTCCTCCTTCTACTCTACACTCCATAAAATATATGTACTTCGTACAAACGTTTGTCTATACTTCCGTGATATTAGTTCTAGATATTATACTATCTTGTACGAAGTACATGTATTTCCATGACTAATATCTAGAACCGTGGAGTATAGAGTAGAAGGAGAACCATCTCATATGGGGGGAAAGTTGAAAAAGTGTCCAACTGTATACTGAAAATAGAGGTTCCAAAACCTACCACAATAGCGCTGGTGTTTGAAAAACCACGATATGAATATAGCTGTTGTAGACGGAGTGAAGTCAGCTGAATTCAAATATTTAAAAATTTTCATGACTAGAGTAGTTAGTAAAATGCCAGTGTACAAAACCTTAACTATTTACGTAGTACAAAGCCAAGCGGATTGGTCGGTCCTTGTTTATTTCTCCATCTTATTCTAATTACTTTTGGCGCTTTTTTTTTAATTTATCCTATGCTACCGCAGCGCCGTTAATAAATAAAATCTCTTTATTTCGGACAAACATCCATAATTGTTAGTAGGTACAAGGAAGTTATAGCTATGTTAGTAATAATTAAGTGCAGACACGAATAATTAGTTTAAGTACAAACCAGGCCTACCTGAGGCACAAGGTTAATGCACATGCATATTCACCCAGTGTCCCATAATAGGTCAATCTGGTTTGCCACTAATAGCCCTCAGTATGATGTTAGAGCTACCACCTATTCTGCGCATGAGCGAGGCGAAAAGTTTGCGCAACACCGTTTCGAAGCTATCAGTGCGCGCTTGCGCATACATGCCCGATGCGCTGCAAAATCGCGGCAGACCCAACATCACCCTGAAGGCATTATTATACTGTACTCGGAGTACGCTGAAAGCCCCCCGCGTATAATCAACCCACAGACTATACGTGTATATTGTTTGGCAGAAGGCTTAAAAACAATGTTATTTTAACTTCTGTGGTACATCGTGAAAATCTGCGGGCTAACATATTACAGCGGACTGCCAACGCTCTCCTTTCCCTCTCCATATCACAGTCATCCCTCAGCCTCTCCTCTTGAAGGATGATACGCGATGTGGAGCTATTCCGTTTAGGTACACTGGCGGAACTATGCGAAGAGAGAGCTATGCGACTGTCTGCCTTAAATACCGTAAAATCGCTCTTCTTTATATTGTAAAGAAGACCGTGAGACTCAGCAAAACGCTTACAAACGCTCATCAGTCTTCTGAGAGCAGCGACTGATGGACTCAGCAGCACCATGTCGTCAGCATAACTTATACTATTGACACAAAGACCGTCTGTAGAGCACCCGACACGCATGCTGCTGAGCATGCGTGTCGGATGCTCAGCAGCATGCGTTTGCGATGCTTTAAAGTTGATGTAAAGAGTTTTCAACGGGAACTTGACCGGCGATGATTTGCTGCTACTGCTATTGTTTAAATAATGGTTTGAAGTGGATTGCGATATGTAAAAGTGGTGCGATTTTGTGTCTTAAATGTCTGCACATGTGAACATAGTGAAAACGGTGAAACAAGTGCTCTGATGGTGATGTGATTCTCAAGATAAGGTGTCTATCTGCTTAAGCGCCCTGAGATATTATTGCCAACTGTCAGCTGTCTCCTGGCTCAAGTTGCCATCAAAATCTCCCAAGGACTGCACAATGTGACGCATCAACATATTGTTAAGCGGGATAATTATACATTATAACTTCAGGCTCAGAAGGGCTAGAACCCAAAGCCGTAAAAAAGTTGAAGTAAATAAATAGTAAATACGTTTCTATATAGTTTGTGTAAATACGTTATTTTTGGATAAAAACTAATTTTATTTTAATTATAAATAAATATAAACTAAAAGTGGATGTAGAGAGAAATAGGTATGTAGGCTTTTGATTTGAAAGCCATTGATTACTGAAAATTTATCAATTACTTGTTACTGATGCGAATAAACACACAATTAATTCGTCATTGCTCTTTTAATGGAAATATTTATATGGGGTAAAGTTTGTGAAGGTTAAATAATATAAGTACTCAATATACGATTTCTAAATTTAAGGTTAGTGGATTCTCTCTGTACAATTTTCTGGTTCCCGCGCGTTCGATTGAATAATTGACTTATTAGAACGCGCATGCGTCTTTAGTTCAGTGAGAAGTAAGCTACAAAATGTTAGGTCTGCTCACAAGCAAAGACTAATAACCCTAATAATTGTGTGGGCAGTCTAGACCAGCAGTCGTCGTCGCTTTGGAAGGTTGCTGTCTTGTGAGTTGTGTGTATTGTTGATCGTGTTTGGTTCGATATAACCTGCTCGCTGACAAAAAAAGTGACTGCACAGTTGCAACTAAGGTAGGAAATTTAATTATTTTCTGAATAAATGTTTTGTTTTTTATTTATACTTTTAACACCTACGCAGCGAATGCGAAGTTCACATAAATAGTTTCGTAGTAGTTATGTACCAGTGTAATAACTTTTGTAAGTTGTCCCAGAGCTTTAATTTTTACTTTTTCCTCTTATTTCTTGCATGAAACTAGCTTGGTATTTTTTGACGCCTTATTTTTTTTCTTTTGATATTAAGTTGGCATGCAACGTGGTCTGCTGAATGGTGGTTCATACATGGCCCTGGGCCAGGTATACCGAGGTACAACTCTTCCTAACAAAAAGAGTGATATAAAGAAAATTCTACACATTGGTGGAGCTGCAAGAAAGAAGTTAGCACCATTTTTCAATGAGAATATGTCTGACATGACAGAGGTTTTGACTGAGTAAGTAACTTGTAAGCGGAAGCTAGCCTTATTGGTTGGTAATGGGACAATTTTATTGCTTACACACATTTAATATATTATGTATTTTCTTGCACAACACAATTTTTTATAGTTATATTTGTTTTCAAGTTATATTAGATTTATTTAGTTTTCACTAATTGAACCATACCTGAAAATTCTAAGTCTTAAGTTCAAAGTATGAAATACCTTTCACCTTATTAGCTCATTACATGTAAGCTAAGTACACTGCACTATTACAGAAACTCAATTTTGGAAACAATAGAGAAGAGAGAACTGGAGAAGATGCCTTCCCTAAATGCCGAAGAAACTGCATTACTGAGGTAAGTAATATATTTATTATTTAACATAATATTTTGTAGATATATGATGATGATATAGTTATATCAGTACTTATGTACACTACATACTACTTACTCTAAATACTAGCTTGACTCTTTATTGTAGCCTTATTATATTGTAAATGGATATTATTAAATGTAAAAATGAATGCAGGATACAAAAAAAAATCTACATATTTGTAGAGTATATAATGATCAATACAGGTAATACTAATATTATTATAAATAATACATAATAAATATTAATAAGCATGTTAGTAAATAATAAGCTCATTAATATTTACATATTACTAGTGATCCGCCCTGAATTTGCACGGGTGATTTCTGGATCTCAACAAAAGCACCACCTACCGGGTCCATTTGTGAATAGTTTAGATCATCCAGGGACCCACTTAGTCACACACAAAAAATTTCATCAAAATTAGTCCAGCCATTTTCAAGATTTTGTGAGACTAATGGACAGCAATAAATTTTTATATATAGAGATTACATCCATTATGTATGTATTACATACATATTAGTAACTAATTTGGTTATATTTATTACATTATATCAATCTGTTGTGACTGGATAATTCTTTAATGTGTAATACTATTTGTTTTTTTTTATTTCAGTTATTATAAAATTAATTTAACCCTTTTTTTATAAATATAAAAGCGCACACGTATCTTTACTCATGGTTAGTACAAAAATAGTGTATGTCCTAAGTCCCATTCTATGACATTATTTAGCTCTCTAACTAATTTCAATTAAATTCATTCTTTCTTTTAATTGTGATTGAACAAAAGCATTCAACTATACCAACTTTTGCAATGACTTTATTATACTTAAAGGGCCAAGAAATATAAAAAGATATATGCATGAAAGAATGCATTATTCTAATGTTAGTTTCACTTACTTTATCTTTGACCTCTCTTCTGTAGGGCAATTTGAAGTGCTGTTTTAGTAACATACTCATAACAAATAACTGGTGCACTGAGAGGACATTACAGGATTTATATAACAGAAGGGATTTGAATAGGATAAGGCGAAATGTTGCGACGGTTAATACAGCCCTTTGAGTGCATTTCAGTGGTAGCAGTGTAGTTTTAGCTGCTCCTCCCAATGAGGTTATACAATAGGTGAGAATCGATTGACATAATATACTTGCATTACTAAACTTACATAAAACAAAATATACTTGCATTACTACCTTAATATCAGCAAAATAACGACTCTTTTTAAAAACAAACCTTAGTTTACGGACTCTATTGCACAGGTGGTCTATGTGGTTTTTAAATGTAAAAGTAAAATCTATAATTATTCCAAGGTATTTAAGTTTTTGTATTTCAAATATCTGGGCAGCTACAATTAGACTCTGCGAATGAACAACATTGATGTGCATAAATTTCTAGATAGTTATATGCCACATTGAGCTGCGCATAAAAAAAAATATTTTGTTTTGTCCATATTCAGTTATAATATATTTTGTTGGAGCCATTTTTTAACCCTATCAAAACCTTGCTGTGCACATAAATAAACCTTGTCTACTGTAATAGCAAAAAAAGGAACATGGTATCATTTACGTAATATATTATTTCACCTAAGTTAAGTTCAACATTAAAAAGATTATTTATATATAATAAGTTTGGCCCTAATACACTGCCTTGAGGCAACCCAAAATGATTATTTTTAGTTCAGAGCTGCATTGTCATCGATTTTCTAAATAGTTCACAAAAAGTTGAAGCTCTTTACCTCGAATACTTATGCTCTCGTAGTTTATCTAATAGGATGGGAATAGAAACTGTATTAAAAGCTTTTGCTAGTTCATGAAAAATTCCAATTGATTGGTTGCCATATCTAATTCTTGAGAGACGCAATGGGTAATTTCCTGCACAGCATGAGCAGTGGATAGTTTTGGTCTGAAAGCATATTGCATATTCGATAATATGGATTCTTTGTAAATAATTTATTAATCTATTGTTAATTAATTTTTTAAATATTTTAGACGTACATGAGAGGATTGAGATAGACTGATTGGAAACGTGTTTTTTGTCCCCCGATTTTTATACTGGAACTACGATGGATTTTTTCCAGAGAGAGAAAATTTCTTCAGAGAGGCAAATTCAGAAGATATGAGTTAATGGTAGTACTAGAATTTGTCTAAATTTTCTTCATATACTAGTGGGTATGCCGTCCCAACCAACCTCGCTCGTTTTTCTCAGTCATATTATAATCCTTACTACCTCAGTAGCATCCGTATCTAATAATGCGAACGAGCTAAATTGGCAGTTTCTTTGAGTTGAGAAAGTAGCCTTGTATTCATGAATATCGTTAGAATTGTTTATCATCTGCTCAGCAAGATTTTTACCGACGTTCACAAAGTAATTATTTGCTGTTTTTGCTGACACATAATGGGCGAGGATTTATTTTATAATAATTCTGATGAAGGTTCATGCTGTTTGGATAGAAATGCAATATGTTTTACTTGCCGCCAAATCTTTTTGTTATCTCTACCAGGCTCTTCCAGTAAGTTCGTAACATCTACTTCAACTTTTCTAATAAATTGTTACAAAAATTCAGGGTTAGATTAACTGGGTTGATCATATGCGGCCATATTTATTGCAAGCTATAGTGCCTGAGATCCACTACTCCCAAGCATCCATCCCCACAGCAATGTAATCGTTACTTGAAATTTTACATGTTGGTTTTCCATAGCTCAATGGTTAAGAAAATCATTGTGGGGAATTTAGAATATTAAATAAATAAATATTTCGAGCCACCCACACCCGCTGGAGTAGCGGACTGGACTAATCTCAGAAATGAGCAGGGGCCTTTGTTTAGAGGTAGGACGTAAGCTATAACTTTACGTTTAATATTTATTAGAAAAAACTGATGCTCGGCCAGTCTTTACCCTTTTGTTTTTGAAACACTACACATTCAAATCAAACAGTTTGTGTTGTCATTTGTAATGTGTACAGAAATGAAGTGGAATAATTTCGTAGCGTTTGTCTCTCCATCTGATTAAAATGTCTTCAATAGTGAATGGACCGTTGTTAAGCTAAGCCGGTGCATTTTACTGTCTTCCGCTACATCACTATTTTTCATTAACTACGATCGTAGTCAGTAGGCTTAATAAAATTTAACCTATCCATTCATAAACTGTAATCAATGAGCTTGTTTAGCGAATTTATACCGCCTCATATAGTCAGTACTTGAAACGTTGCTCCTACGCAGCTAACTTGCTACTTATATTTAATTTTAATCTACCCTAATTTATGTTCACTTTTTTTTGTTATTATTTTGTTCTGTGTAACCTATTTAAAATTGTATAATGTACTCATGTAAGTGACATGTATTTGTCTTAATGAGTAAATAAAGATCTTTAAACCGAATTCATTGATTGTTTGCGGTTGACAAAAATTTAACCATCTAAATTGTGTGAAACATACATACGTTGCATAGAGGTACGTCGCTTAACACGTCCTGTTAATAGAGTAATGGTGCTGTATTTGGAACGGAAACATTACGCCACAAATAAAAACGTATACTCCTATTTTAACGTTTATGACGCTTTAATGGCGACATGCATCATTATCTTTAAAACGTAAATAGTTAAGAGTTGGAGTTTTGTATAAAGAACTCTATAATCGTCATAACGATCGCAGTACTACTAGAAATTTGATTTTTATTCTCTATTATGGCAATCGCACAGCGATGAAGTTGTGTTGCCTATTTATCTTGAAAAAAAAAAGGATTCCAAGTCAACAATTAATATATACTTGACGATTTGTAATTTTTTTATGACAGATTCAGAATTTTTCAGAAGCTCTAGAGAATATTACTGTATAATATTTTGAGGTTATTATATATATATATTATATTAACCGCAGTCGAGTATTAAAAGATTATTAACCGTAGTCTTCATACTGCTCTTGACACAATTGAGATGAAATGGAATATAAGGACTCGCTGCTTAGTGTATGTTCTTGATGTTTTCTTAGACAACTAACGGAAATATACGTTAAAAGTTTCCTTTCCTGTACATAATGGCGGGGTACGTGATCTCTTTAGGGTTCGGTACCTCAAAAACCGCCCGTCCGACCGTTCATCTGTCAAGATCCTTTTTCTCAAGAACGGATGTAGGTATCAAGTTGAAATTATTATTAAATACTGAGGTTTACGTTCCTTTGGAGGGGTAAAAATTTAAAGATTCTAAGTCAACACATTCAAAAGATACGGCCATTTATGTCATATTTTTATACTCGCTCATCAAATTCATGAAATTTGGTAAGAAGCAAGGTCTCACAGAGCAAGCAAAGGAAAAACCCAAAAATCGTTAATTTGTAGTAGTAATATTACATAAAATAATATTTCTTGATATTACAAACTTACATTTGTAGTTGGAGCATTGGCTATGATATAGATATCGATCTATATCATGATGTAAATTGTTAAAGTTGAAAAAAGTTCTCCCATACATCGGTATGGAGAACGGAGAACATTTTTCAACAGGAAAATAAGGTTTGTCTTTTAATACGGTTTACTTTATCGTTACAGCAATGTTCGGTGATTATGCTGCATATAACTTATCAATTTCAGTAACTTAATTATTTTGATGAAAGTAGGCAATTACTTAAGCTTATACGGAAACCTCAGGGCGCGTATTTTACTTGCACTTGTCTGTTTTTATTAACTAGCACACATTCCAGTGTTTGATATAAAGTGGATGCTGCAGCTCGTCAACTCGGAGGAGAGAGGACTAATATATCTTCTAAAAGATATTTGATTTACGTCACTCACCATACAAAATACTGTCTGTGCGATAATGGTCTTCCCCAGTAATATTTAGAATTTATTTCAAGAAATTATATTTTTATACGGTGGGTTTTATATTATTTTTATTTATATTTATATGTCAAAATATATAAGAAGGAATAGCTTAAAAGAAAATTGTTAAAACTGCGATACATATTAAGCATTATTTTTAACGATATTTTTCT